ACGGTTTTGATTTAACGAGTGGCATTTACGAAAATAATACGCTCAATAATAATCAGCAAAAGTTACATCTTGTGAAAATTAATATGGCAAAGCATGACGAGAAGATGCATAGAGCACGATGAGAAAGGAGCAATCTCTAGAAAGCTACGCGTTTCTAACCGTCTGAGTGTTTCGAACCTCTTATTCCTTGTTCATCGCCACCTTCCATTTCTGATTTTTGATATGGTTGGGGGACTTTCTGGCACACATAGCTTCTTGTGGTACCAGTTGTCGCCCGTGGCATTTCTGGACCGATCTAGGAACCTTGGGGAACAACTACTTCTACGTCTGTATAATTGCATCAAAAAAAAAAAAATAATAACAAAAAGAACAAGACCGCAGAGTTTCTTGCCGGTTCTTTCCTGTGCAGGTCTAGTTTAGTGAACCGCTGGTAGATTTTTTGTTGACGTTCAATAAGAGCTTAAGTTAAGCCTATATTGAATAAAAATACTTTGAATTTGAAAAGGCTGGAGTTGTTCAATTCAGTTCACTCCTCCGATATTGAATGTGTCCATGGGCACTCGCTAACAAGCTCGTTTGCCTCCTTTTCTATATAAAAAAAAATATAAATGCAATAAAATAAATTAAAATGTGCCAAAACACCTGATTTCATGCAATGCAAAATCTCTTGTTTTTGTATTTCAACATTAACTCAAATAGTTAAATTAAAAATTTTTTCCTCCTATCCACGCTGTAAAATTATCGGTTGAACAGAAGTATACTACGCCTTTACTATATGGTACTGGAGGCGTGGCACATTTGAATTATGTACGAGAGCATAGAGGTCGCGCTACGCTACTTCTATTAGTATGAGTTCCGTTAGAGCATATTATTTTCGAGAGGGTCCGGTAAGGTCGTGAACCTTACCCTAATTCAGGAGATAATTCCTTATGAAATTTTACAAAATACTAATGTCAATTTTGGATTGGTGGATTGTCAATTTTCGCTTTACTTTGTGCTGGCGCTCTGACGTATCATCTTCTGGGACAGTAGTAAAGAGCATTATTCGTCAATAAGTATATGACGCTATATCGGTGAAAGGTCTCCACTGTACGGAGATACCACCGGGACACGGTTTATGGTGGGTTACCAAGCTTTCTTTCATGTCCTAGTATTTTTTTAATCAGGACTAAAAGCTAAATATTGATTAATCCGACACTGAAAATTTTCATTCGGGTAGCACGAGAATTCTGAATTAAAAGGCGTGTTGTATAGAGAATGTGTACGTATATATAATTATTACACACATTGTTAGCGACATTAACGTAAGGTACGTAACACGCCATCACCGTTACAATTGATATACAGCTTAGCGAGTTACCATATTAAATTAACCACATGGGGAACATTACAACAATACGACAGTGTAGTAAATTAATTTGGTAAAACATACAATTTACTCGAAAATACTCTACACAATCATCTGCTATTGCAAACACACATGAGGTCTGCTAAAAATTATATTTTATTATGACGATATGTCGCTTAAGTGGTTCCTTTTTGCGTTTTGAAACTTTCACGTTTTCAGAATAACAAGGCATGCAACTTACATTATTGATTTACTAGCTGCTGCCCATGACTACGTCTGCGTAGAGGGGTGAAAATTTAGAGTTGTATGTATTTTTGTATGTTGTATCATAAAAAAATAAAAACAAAAAATGTTGTCCAAAAATTTAAAAAAAATGTTAAGGGTGAACAACCCTTATCACTTAAGTGTATGAAAAATAGATAGTAGCCGATTCTCAGACCTACTGAATATGCATATAAAATTTGGTAAAAATCAGTAAAGCCGTTTCGGAGGAGTAAGGTAACTAACTTTGTGACACGAGAATTTTATATGTAAGATAGTCATATCGGATTATAAAAGAAACAGACAAGGTAATAAAATTGCACGAAGCTTAAACAAAGATTATAAATGGAAGTGTATTACAAGAACTACTGATAGCTCTACAATGCATCTTGTAATCAACCAAGATCCGCTTAAGTTCTAATCCGCGGTCGAGCTCTTAAACCAATTGCTACATAGTCTTCAGCTCACCTGCAGAGCTATTAGGTCTTAACAGAGAGATTTTGTACTGTCGAGCACAAAACTCAATCGTGATTATTTTTTGTTACATAATTTGCATAGGAGATACACGTCTAAGACTTGTTTAACATATGGTTTAGTTTACTCTATTATTTTAAACTTCGCAACAATTTTATGGTGCAATATCATAATCGTTTAAAAGTTTATCAAAGCATTCACTACATACAAAATATTAAAATGACATTTTAGTAAAAGAATGACTTGGGTGGTGCAGAAGATAAGCGCGGCATCGTCGCCGGGTGTTGTGGATTCGATTCCCACATTGTACAAGTATTTGTTATACCCACAGATAATTGTTCCGGATTGGGTGTGTTTACAAGAAGAGCCGTGATAGCTCAGTGTCCGGGCGCTCGCCTTTAATTCAATATACTCGAGCAACCTGAGTTCGATCCCCGGTGCCGGCACCAATGAAGTTTTTAACTTTAAGCGCTGACTTATCACGTGCTCCGCGGTGAAGGAAAACATCGTGAGGAAACCTGCATATTTTCGAAATAACAACAAAAAAAATATTGCGAAGATATGTGAAGTCCGCCAATCCGCAGTGGGGCCGCGTGGTGGACTATGCCCCGATACCCTCTATATAGAGGAGGCCTTTGCCCAGCAGTGGGACATGTAGAGGCTGTTACTTTACTTTTTTTTACTTTACAAGAAGGTTTGACGTCATGTCGCTTACATACTGATCATAATAAAACGTAGCGAATACCACTAAAATATGATTCGCCTGTTGTAACATTCCCCATCCAAAGGTTGGATAAGGGCTGGAGGATGATGATGATTTCTGTAAAAGAAAAGCATAATTTTATTAGAATGAAAATCTAATAATGTTTGCTAGAAATAACGGTTAGATAAGATAAGATAAGATAAGATAATCATTTATTGTCTTAAAAATGTTTTAAAATGTGTACAATAGGTGTTACATTTTACACTATTTTTTGTGTCAACAGTTTGCCCATTTTGGGCGTACAATAAGAGAAATGTTAATAATATAATTAAAGTATTATTCGGTTCTACAATAATATTCATGTAAATTATAAAAACAATTACATATCAGCCATTCTTTTAGTTTAGTTTTAAACTGTACACCATGAAGTGATCTTATTGATTCAGGTAAATAATTATAAATCTTAATATCAGTAATGTAGGAGCTTTTTTGATACATATAACTCGAGCAAGGCACAGTATATATGTCATATTTATATAGTTAAATTTGATAGAGCCAAAATATAATTCACGAGTCCGTAAACTACGAAGATTAGATTACAATATCGTTGTTAATTGTTAAATCAGTAGAATGATACAATATCAAGCATAGAATAGAAACATAGATTATTATAAACATTTTTATAAACAAGAAACATTTACAATTTTTAAAAATGATAACTAAATAAGTAATGTTGCACGTAAGTTGTGGGCGATTGTACACCGATAACAGTCGTTAAGTGGAGCGCGTCGACAATCAGGCTGCGTCCGACGTCTATACGAGGTGTAATGGAACAATTTCCTTCTAATTGAGAGACGCCGTGATGCTTTAATCTTCAGCTCTCGGCACACGCTTGATTGCTTACTTGCGAAGAACTTGGTTTTAGCATCATTCGAGAAGAATATATTTGTTTATCCAGATAATTATGTTATGGAATATGTTTCATATTTTATTCTCGCGTTTCCGTTCCGACTTTTTTTTAGGGTTCCGTACCCAAGGGGTAAACGGGACCTTATTACTAATACTCCGCCGTCTGTCTCTCTGTCTGTCTGTCCGTCCGTCCGTCTGTCACCAGACCCTTATGAACCGTGATAGTTAGACAGTTGAAATTCACAGATGATGTATTTAATTTGCCGCTATAATAATCAAACTGAACTGAACAAAAAAAATAATAAAAAAATATTAAAGTGGGACTCCCATACAACAGACATGACTTCTTTGCCGTTATAATAGATAATGGTACGGAACCCTTCGTGCGCCAGTCCGACTTGAACTGGCTATGCTATAAGTATAAAATTCATAAATACCTTATTAACAACTTTGAACTGTCACACGTTTGAAATGAAACTACACTCAAAAGCGCTGTCGTTTACATTTTTTTGTTTTTCAAATAAACCTTTTCGACACTGGCAATGAGATTCAGTGTAAATTGGAATTCTTGAAATAAACTGATCGTCTAAAAAAAGTTTTGACTGCTCCTTGGTAAATTGCCAAATCGTACAGGGAGGGAGTGACATTGGAGACAGTTCGTTCGCCCTACATCGACATTGCAATCCACTTTTATTAGTTCACGTACAACCATTTTATAAAATCACACACACGCCGATCGCTATAGATAGAACCTTCTCTTTGTAGTGTATAGGCAAATCATAAACTTCAATATATTTTCGTTCGATGAACTTATTTTACTAGGCGCATTACAATTTTTTTCTTTATGTTTTTATTTTAAATGATTTTTAACTGGAGGACAAATGCTGGGTACTCTTATGTTAGCCTATATTATTTTAATGTGCATTTAACAAATAATTGTTTGCTAACCACCAACTATTATAATATTACTCTTTGACCTACAAACAACAGAAAGTAAGAGGGCTGTGGTCGTCGATGCGTTGTTACAGATGTTAGATAGTGTAATGCCATGCAATTTACATTTAAAACTATACTGCTGGTAGTTTTGGAGAGTAAATGTCTTACGTAAAGTAAAACACTAGTTAAGTGAAAGTGGTTAAGCATGCGTGGCGACCATCCGATGCCCTTTTTTAGATTTACAACACAATCATCGAATATGGGTTTTTTTATATTTTCACGGCGTGTTTGCTCGATACTGCATCGCAGAGTTTTTATTATAAGTATTTCATTTCATCTCCTTGTTTTATACGCTTTAGAATAGGCAACATGTCGCGTATATATGGGATATGGATTCGCAAGTTCATATCACGGTGTAGTGCACCGATAGGTAAATTCAAATATATTTTGGTTCAATACTGGTACTTGTGTTGATTTTAATGGTGTTTGCACATGTAACGGACGATTTTTCAAATTTTAACACAGTACACAAAAAATGAATCTATAGTCGACGACCAAATTGGCGCAGAGAAAATTAAATCCGTCTAGTGGTTGTGGGTTCGATCCCCATTAATGGAAAATTATTTTTTTTTTCTGGTATCTGGATGTTCTATAATATAATAATGTTTCAGTATGTCTAACAGTTACCTTGTATCCATTGTAAAAGCAACGCTTAGTTTGCAACTGCAGAAGGTTGTGGTAAAAATAACATATGTCCTAAATGAAACTAATTTTACGGATTTATCGCGTTTATTTTTAATTTTAATTCCCGACGTTTCGAACCCTTTACAGCGTTCATGGTCACGGGTCTGTCCCGTGTTAAAATAAAAAGTTAAAATTAGTTTCATTTATAATGTGTAATCGCGTAAATACAAGAAAACATATGTCCTGAAAAGTTTATTGAGGTCTTTCCTGTGTACGCATGTGTTTAATTTTGTTCGCAGAGGTGTTGGTGACGTATCGGCGCGGGTTACCCGTGATCGTAGTGCCGTTGCCGTCGCGTCGCGAGCGATGCCGTTTCACACTGCGCCCGGTTTCGCAAACGGTCGGCGATTTGTTGGAGCAGGTCGGTAGCTGGCTTGAATGCTTTGATCGCAACCAACCGAGGTCCCGCTAGACAATGCTATACACACACAAACTGCTTACACACATAGCCAAACATTTCAACCTCACCTACTAGCACCACAAGGTATGTACACAAAGATACACCCGCGTTCCAGGTACCTCGACTACCAATTAATACAGCAGGCCAGCAGGATTACAGTCCGCATCGAACCTCGATGGCCCGTAGGTGACATTCCCATTCACTAGTTAATACACGCACGTTAATACACGGTGGTAGAGCCACGCAGCAGCTTTGGCTGTTGCACGAATGGGCAGGCTCGTCCGGGTAAGTACCACGACCTCACAGAAGACCGGCGTAAAGTGGAAGTATGACAAATACTTTCGCGTTTCGTCTGGTGAGTGAGGTAGCCGGAGCCCAGTTTCCAAAAAGGTTGTCAACGCATCTGCAAACCCTCGGGTGTAGCAGATGTCTATGGGCGGCGGTCTTCACTTAACATCAGGTGAACCGTCTGTTCGTTTGGCAACTTTCACATAAAAAAAAAAAAATGCGCGGCCCTACCTAGCGCTGAGGGCCGTAGCTAGCTTAGTCAGATCTGGCTACCATACGAATTCTGAACTCGATTAAGGTTTAATAGTGTACGGACTGAAAGAAAAAACATCAATCAGTTAAAGTAAAAGAAGAAGGCTTTAATGACTAGGAGTGATGAATTTTAAAATGCATGTTTATACGTGAAAACTTGTAGTTGCATACAGAGATCATTATTGAATTCTTTGGTGTAGAACTTCCACATTTTAGTCGTATTTATTTTCGCTGGTATTTTAGCCACGACCTCTGATCTGAGACGAGGCTACTAAACTCTAGACCACTCGGCCTCTTGGTCATACATAACTGTGTGTATGTACTGCGACATCAAAATGCCACGGATTTTCCTTATTTTCCTGACATGTTAAGGGGTGTCAATATTTTTCAAACGACTTCATAAGAGGACGAGGTTCTCAATTCGACTGTATTTTTTTTTTAAATTTGTTACCTCATAACTTCCGACTGGGTGAACCAATTTTAATGATTCTTTATTTATTTGAAAACTGTTGCTTCCAATGTGGTCCCATATTAATTTCGGAATTGGATCTTGGGCTCCGGAGATACTTAGGTAACCCCTGAAAATCAATTGATATTGAAGAGCCTCCCCAAAGATCTCCCGTCTAGGTCTCCGGTCTCACTACATAAAAAAATACAGTCGATTGAGAACATCCCCCTTTTTAAGTCGGTTAAAATTGTCTTGTTTCTCTCGTCGCCAGGTTAAAGCGGAAGACAGGGGCGTGGAGCGCGCTGTGGCGCTCGCACCCAACGAGCGGGTTAGAATCGCGGCCAGCGACACCGTGGAGTCCCTGCTGGAGGATGACTTCAGACTGATCATCAACGACACGGAGTACTACGTGAAGAGTCCGCCGCAGGTAGTCAACATGGTCACGCTATTATTAGGCAAGTCTGTGGGTCCGCAACGCTGTGCTGGTCTACAAATCGACGCACGAGAGTTTAAAAAAAAACTGTTCGTTAAATAAATGAGTTTGCTAACCCAAATCGGTGCATGGCAGCGATAGTTGGGGACGGAGAACCACGAAAGTTTAAGGAACCGGTGTGCTAAATACACGAGTTTGCTAACATCCTCGTGTGTTACTCCGATTTAGTTTACAAAAAAGTAGCAATTCGAACAAGTTAGTGGAATTCTATTGGAAGTTAGTCGTTTTAGTTGGCTTTCGTATTGGCATTCAGAAGTAACGAATCGCACGTTTCGCTAACGAGGCTTCACCGACTTTTTGGACGAGCTCTTCACTGTACCTGCATTCTGCAGTCCCGTGAATAAGTAATTTAATTCAATGCTTATTTTAATCGTAGTACCTGGAGGACCGAGCTTTGTTTTTTTTTTTTTTGGTAAATCGTGTACTTTGGAAATTACATTTAGATACAAATTACAGAGTAATGAAATATGCATATTTTTCGATCTTATCGACGTAATAAAAAAGAAATAAGTATGAACTGGTGTTTTTCACAAAGGAAAGAACTTTAAAAAAAAGGGATGTGGATCCTGTTGCATATTATATAATGATGATTTCGTTATAAAAAATAACGATCATCAGGATCGACAAAAAATAAAAAATAGAGAAAGCAATGATGGAATCTGAAAAAAAAGTAAAAAAAAAAAAGTGATCGACACGAACCAGGGCCTTCTGTTTCGGGGCCGCCCGATTACCGACCGAGCTATTATAACATTGTTTTTTCGGTGAAATTTACCGTCGTATTCGAATGATATTTTTCATTCCCTGAAAATTGGGATAAAACGACATTTTCTAAAAATGCAACCTAACCAGATCGATTGTTCGTCCCCGAATCTACGCACATACTAAATTTCATGAAAATCGCTGGAGCCGTTTCCGAGATTCCGATTATATATACAAGAATTGCTCGTTTAAAGGTATAAGATTACGTCGTAATCATTTGTAATTTGTTAATTAATTAATTTATCTGCATTACACTTCTAAGCCGTATAGAAAGCATTGTCTTACAAGACAGGTAGACCATCAAAAAATTAGTGAATGGGAATATTATATAGATGAAACATGATAGGTTGTTGTCATCAGCTTTGGACCTAGCATTTATCAATTTTTATATCCTATATATTGTTCTGAGTTCGGCCCCCTAGCAATGCATATTATACAATAATATTTAATAATATTAATGTCGCATGTCCATACTGCGCGGCGTTTAAAGTTTGTTCCGCTTTACATTACATAACATATAAGTGAATGTGACAGATGATATAGAACGTATGATACGGAAAGGGAAATAGTAGTCTATAGAATTACAATCTAATTACACCAACTGGCGAAATTATCGCCTGATTTTCGGAGCGCTAGTGTCATCCCTACCTCATATTTGTGCGATCCCTACGTGCGTATTTCATTGATATATGTAAATGAGGAATACCTCGACCGGTGCCATTTCTCGTTGCACAGGAGCGCCTGAGCTCTGAGGAGATCACACGGCTGAGCGACGTACGCAACCTGGTGAACCAGCTGTACGAAGCGCTCAACGTCCGCGAGCACCAGATCCGCAAGGAGAGGGAGCTCAGGTCACAGCTGGAGAAACTTTCCGTGGAACTGCAGCCACTGGAAGAGGTAAGACGTTCCGTGTAATTGTGAACTTTGTTATGATACGAAAAATCAATTAAAGGCCGGCAACGCAATTGCGACTCAACTGATGTTGCAAATTTCCATGGGCGGCGGTGATCACTTACCATGCTCGTTTGCCTCCTTTTTCCTTTTTAATGAATTTAGAAATCGATTAAAAACCGGCCAAGTGCTAGTTGGACTCGCGCACGAATGTTTCCGTACCATTATCTGTTAAATATCCCCAATTTAATATTTAAATTTTACTGTTTTTTAGTGTTTGTTGTTATTGCCGCAACATAAATACATCATCTGTGAAATTTCAACTGTCTAACTATCACCACAGACAGTGGAGTCTTAGTAATAGAACCGTCTCACCTTTTGGAAACTGTGGCACGGAAACACCATGGCGCTTACTTTAATCCCCAAATAAGATGTATTGATCCACCGCGTTTCTTCTTACTCCGTGGCGAAGTCGCTAAGGTCGCGGGTTCGATTACCATTCGGGCAAACTATTTGTGCGACCCACAGATAGTTCTTTCGCATCTGGGTGTTTGTCCACGTGACACTTATGTTTTTAAACCGTCCTTACAACACGGGATAACGTTATCTTAGAGTAAGGGAAAGTTTTTTTTTTAAAAGAAAAAAAAATTGATACATGAGTCGCATTGCACTTAGAAACGGATGACCCTCGAAGTGGAGACCACACGCCGTACCTCCGCGCTCACGTGGGTCGGCCTCGGTCTTATGGGGGTCCAGTTCGGTGTCCTTGCGCGTCTCACCTGGTGGGAGTACTCCTGGGACATAATGGAGCCGGTCACGTACTTCGTCACGTACGGAACCGCTATGGCCGCCTACGCGTACTTCGTGCTTACCAAGCAGGTGAGCCAGTTTTCCATTGTATTTTGGTAGCATTGCAGGTATTGTTGTTGAGTAGCAGCCTCGTGCTGGCCATCGCAGTGTAGGAAGACCCCACTAGATGGAGTGACGACCTGTGCAAGTGTGAGGGAAATCGATGGATACAGATACAGGATCGTGGTTCGTGGCAGTCTGTGGGGGAGGCCTATGTTCAGCAGTGGACTCAAACAGGCTGAAATGATGATGAAGAAGATGGCAGGCGGACTGGCGGTTCATCCGATGTTAAGCGATGACCGCTGCCCTTGGACTTGCAACACCCAGTGATGGGTTACGAATGCGATGCTATCTCTCAACAGACGAAACGGAGAAGTATAACGCTTCCACCTCACATGTTCTTCTCTGAGGTCGTGGACCTACCATTCGTGCAACAGCGAAAACTGATGCGTGGCTCTACCACAGCAATGTTGTATTAATCAAAGTGCGCTCCGGCTTCCAAGATAGAGGCATCGTCTAGTTTGGCAAGCCACGTATTTTTTTTTTGTGAGGAAGACTTGCTTTGCGAAGTTACGAAGTCAGGTCTAACAGTCCCCGTAATGAAAGAGTGGAAATGAAATGATAAAACTATTAATTTAATACTTCTAATATATAAGATTCTTGCGTCACGGTGTTTGTAATTGAACTCCTCCGAAACGGCTCGACCGATTTTCGTGAAATTTTGTGTACATATCGGCCAGAGTGGAGAATCGGACAACATCTATTTTTCATCTCCCTAAATGTTAAGGGTGGTCCACCCCAAACATTTTTTTCTACCCTACAAATAATTTATATAGCAAAACAACGTTTACCGGGTCAGCTAGTTACTATATGATTTCTTTTTTATTGTAAATAATTATATTTTATACGCATATAAACATCCAGACACTAGAAAAACACTATGTGTGACACACATAATTTTTCCAGTTCTGTGGATCGAACCCCTCCACCCTCTGGCGTAGGAGGCAGGTACACTACGCCATCCGAGTCACCAATATATTACCCCGATACGGAACCGAGAATTCATTCAATGCTCCTCGTATATGTTTTATTTGATTTTTGATAATTAAAAAATTTTTTACCTTTTTGTATTTGTTTTATTAGGAGACAAAAAAGATAGAAAGCTTATTGTAACTCATTCCCTCCCAGGAGTACGTGCTGCCGGACGTTAAAGATAGACAACACCTTTTGACGCTACACAAAAAAGCGAAAAAAGTGGGCCTAGATATTAATCACTACAATTATTTGAAAGATGAGGTAAGCAACATTTGGATAGTACATTACGTATATTTTATTCATTTATTGCGAGTCCTACATTGGATTATGCCAAAGTGCCATTTAGGATCGTTTAATTAATAATAAGACGCTGAGGCGGTTTAAACTGTTTAATTCTGGGTTTTCTTGTAACCTTGTACCATGATGGCACGTCACTCGCGACGTTTTCCTTTTTCGTGGCAAAAGAGCACTTAGGATCATGCGCGACGATATATAATACTTAGGGATATCCTTTAATTGGTTCCTATACACTTATGTGTCATCTTTTTCCGTAACGCGCAAAAGGTCGTTAAATTTACGACAATGTATGTAGTAACTGTGTCGTTCGCATACAGTTAAATTAGCAATTTGAGCTCTGCTAGCTAAGTTTCTAGGCTCGTTTTTAACTAAGTATACTTGAGTAACTTGAATTCAAAACCCGGTGTCGCCGCGCGTCATCACGTGCTCGGTGGTGAAGGAAAACATGGGGAAACCTGCATATTTTCGAAATAATATTTAACAAAAAACGTGTGTGTACTTATGCATGTATACTTGTGCACGTAAGAAGTTATACTTCTCCAGCGTGATAAAAGAAAAATAGCCAACAATTAATTAAAGGTAAATGTTAAAAAGTTGCCGTAAAGTGGGTGTGCGCGTATCATGGTAAAAATTCACTATCATCATCTTTCACAAACGCGCCAAAAGATGTATAACTTGAAGAATATTTCGAAGATATGAGGGAGTCCGCCAAACCACAGCGGGAGGCTGTCATTTTTCAATGTCATTTTATCTGTCATTCATTCGGTTAAAAATTAATACAGAGCGAGACATTTGAGGTAGGTTTTGTTTTTCGTTAGTAAAAAAATGGCTATTATTTTGCACTTTATTGGTCATCATGGTAGATCGACAAGGTCCAGAAGGACCTGGCCCGCCTCCGGGACCCTTTACACATCCACCTGCCGGCCTCGTACGCGCCGAAGGCGGACGACAAACGCTCGCCCCTCACCAAGCTCAAGGACATGCTCGATGAGACCACCAAGAAGATGAAGATCACGTAATACCTGTTACGACGCGTCGACGCATCCGATAGACGCGTACGTTGAGACCGGCTTGTTAACAGTTTCAGCGTTGTCCGTTGCGTTACGGACTGCGTTGAGTATTCGCATATAGACATCACTAGTTGGACATTTTGCACTGTACTCCGGTGGCGCTCGGAAATGTTCGTCACCCCTGACTTTTTTTTTGGTACGAAGAATATTTTTTTGAATGGAACTTGCAGGTATCGTGTAGTGAATTGATTGATTATCGTTTAGTTCGTTTAATTAATATTTTAGTTTGATATTGTGAGTTGATTTCTTTTCGTTTTAGCGTCACTAACGGAATGTTATTAGGTAAATTTTATAGACATAGTGAAAGTTTTTGTATCCTCAAATTCTTGCTCAGAAAATTATGTTTCCTATTTTTGTTTTAATTCTATTATTGTATTATAATGTAAAGAATTTCATTCGTACTCTTTCCTGTAAAGTCTGTGCCAATGTTAGAGTTGAAAAATGGATCTTTGTTAGTTTTAAGATTAATTGAAAAAAATTACCTAAGGCTAGGTAAAGTTTCTTCTTAATCTATTATTATGAATGTTTATGTATATAAGTTAAAGAGGCTTTATAATTTGCAATATTATTATTATATACATACAATTTATCACCAAAACTTGTTTTGAAATATTGTACTGACTGATTACCTAAGTCTCGAGTTTATACCAAATGTGCATTGAAATGTTGCCTGAATAACTATTGCTTCGATGTTTAAGTCTGCCGATTTTCCTTTTGTTTTTTAATTAATTAGCGCGTAGTTTATTCATTCTAGTCTTGTGCACGAACTTTGCATATAAAGAAAAAGATAACCCCAAAAACATGATTGGAATCGACCGATTCAAGTCGAGACTTGCCTAATAAAAGTAAGTCGATCAATCGAGTCGAGATACACAGGGTCCGATTGGCGTAGTTTTTGTAATGAAAATATTATATCCATATTTTTATTAGCGAAGCGAAGAACATTACGTACACATTCTTTATTGACACTAATTTTACTGTTTGTAGTTAATTGTAGTTAATTTTATTACGGAAATTTAATGTTTTCGCATTTTTAGCCTATACTACGTCACGTATTAATTTATCTAGTAAATTGTAGCCAATAAATAGTATTTGCACAAAATAGCCTTTAGACGAAATATGATGGTGCTTTGTATCATGCTTGAAATCGACGATTCACAGTTTAGTCCGTCGACCTGTATTTATTTTAACGGATTGTGTGAATTTATTTTTGGAATATTGTCTTGCTTTATTGTTTAAATTAAATCTATGTAAACCTAGTTGTTTTCTTAATCTCTAACATGTCATAATGGTACTAATAACATACCTTTGTTATACAGTGATAGAGTAGTTAGTTGCACAAAATATACACACATAGGTACCTAATAGTACTGTTGACATATGGTGTTTATTTAAAAAAATTACAGAAATTTTTAATTAATTGTTACAACATATTTAATTTTGATGCGACATATCCTTCGTAAACACGGTTTATTTGTTGGGTAATTGTTAAATAAACGAAGCGATACGTTCTGATATATTTTCAACAAGTAAATATAATTAATATCAACACGCTGGAAACAAAAAAACTCGTCTAGAAATAATATCGACAAAAGCTGACTACGTAGGAGTAAACGCTCAAAAGTAATGCATTAGTCGTAAAACTCTTTAAATGTTACGAAAGGTAAATAACGTAACAAGGCGTAGTATAATAAATGGCTGTGAGATAAATATATAAAAGAACAGTCCACGTTGTAAGTATTCCCTCGATATTGCGACTTGATTAATTGACGAAATAATATTTTCTAAAATAACTTTAAAACTTTATAATGTTATAGATGTTAAGATGTAAACGGAGCGTTTGGAAATTATTCTTTTATCTCGTTACCTTATAATATTAACGACAAACGATAATACTTTACCGTTTCATTTTATGCAGATTTGAATTTGAGCAATTATGCATAACCTAACGTGTTCCTTGCCGACTTTCAACATTGAAAAACGCGCGAAATCCCCTGTTTCGTGCGTTTTTACCATAGATACGTGCATGTTTTGCATTTTTATTGAGAACAGACTATGTTCTATCGACAAGCATTATAGGCGCTTACATCAGTTTTTGACCGACTTCAAAAAGAAGGAGGTTGTCAATTCGGATGTTTATATATTTTTTTATGTATGTTCGGGCATAACTCCGTCATATATGGACGGATTTGCAAAATTTTTTTTTTTGTTCGAAAGGGTTTCATTTTTATATGTTCCGATATAAAATATAGATGTGGTGATGATTTTCGGAGATAGTAACGGAACTCTTCGAAATATGACAGGAAATCAACCGCGATTGCTGCTATCGCATAAATATGCATTGCTTTGCATGTAACGTTTGTAATAGTTACGTACACCATTTTATTTATAAGACGGTTCTTTTTTTGTTAAAAAAAAACTTTCATTATTTCGTTCCCGATATGCAGAACATTTGTCTATTCTCAATGAAAAAATGCTCAATACAATGAATTTTCTTTAAACATAATTGTGGGGAGAGCATTGAGTTTTACGGATGACTGTTTACTCCTTTACTCCTAAAAACTAAACACACTAGTATCTAACTTCTAAGTATTAATGTATATATAACTGTTACTAGAATTAAGCACGCACATAACTATCCGCTTTATACAAGCTTTCCCTTGTGATTTGCCGATTCGCCTTTTAGAGTCTTTTTCTATCTAATGTTTTTCTATGTATGTATAATAGATAGTTTTTTTTAAATCTAGGCTAAGGTGGAGCAAAGCTTCTGTTGATACGGTTTATGGTTATTTACTTACATGTGTTATATTTTATACTATATTTATATGTGTCAACTTTATATTACTAATGCTCCTTTTGAGATGTTGAAAAATTTGTTCCTTACCAAAAATAAACAATAGACAATTTGTTGAGCCGCAGACTGTTTGTTGATATTTGTATAAGAAACGTGATAAATATACCACTTTTTACTGTTTTTTTTAGAAAACAACTTTTTCAATATAATAGGAAGAAATTAATTTTGTTTATTATAAAATAATTTTAGTAAAATACATGTAATCTGAATTATATAATTGTTATTAACTTTGACTGTAAGTAACAAATTTTTTGCGACTTTTTTTTAGAAAAAAGTAATGATTTATTTCGCTATGGATCATGTTTATGAAAATATTCTATTTTGGTTTAATGTAAAATAATTTTAGTTAAATGTAATCTAAATAATCAATTGTAACTATATTATATATTTATGAGCTTTGAGATTTTATTTACAATTTGAAAAATTATAAAACCTACATTTATTAAATTAGACACAATCTCGCATATAGTTTTAGGAACTTAATCGTAAATATCTATTTAGATATAATTATTTAACCACTTACTAACTTTCCTGTTACTAATCACTATTAAATAATTGCCAAATTATCCTTCCGACTTCGTAAAACAAGTTATTGTTAACTTTGTTACATCACTTAACAATATACTAATCTGTTATATGCAATATACTGTCTACTAGACTGGCTTATTTGGGATGGCCAGGACAGTTGATTTATTAAAAAAAAAAAAAAGTAAAAATATGCTTCTTTCAGGTCTAAAATTATGATTATTACTTCATAACAAACGCTTCATTTTAAAAACCGTCATTGGCCATTTTAAGTTGCGCAGATAAAGTTATTGTTATCGGAGTGACAGTTTAGGAGTGAGAAACGGATTGACTTCACGGGCCCAATACAACCTTTGTCCTCGTGTCCGTAAAACATTTTGCATTTTGTTAAATTTACAAGTCGTGTTCCAATAAATTTTTCCAAAAACATCTTTGTTTTATTCCACGTGTTTACGGTAATTATTTGGCGATATTTAAAAATTGAATTGTTTAAACATAAAATTCTATATCAGTGTTTGGTCGCGATAGACTTGTGGATATTAAACCGATTTTAAATAATATTTTCATTTCAAATTAAATGTTTTTTGCATTTTGTTATTTTAATTTGGTAGACAGAGTAAATCGAATACACATATTTTTTTATGGATCTTCGATGCATAACACATGATAATTAGGAATAAATGTGGAAAAAAATTAAATGAGTAGTTCCGTAGACAAGACTTTCGAATAGTTTGTTGAAGGTAGACGAGATTGAGACAAGTCTGTTATTTTATGTTCTAGTTCGTACTGTTTAGATCTACCTTTGTACGGTACAAAGTAAGTATCTTCCCACTTCTTTCTAAAAGCGCCTTCACTTTTTTCTTTTTTTACCTTTTTTCACACACAATTTTTTTTAAAGATTAACGACAATGGGAAAGGTAAAACTTCAAGCGCATTAGTGACAAATATAGGGGTGGTTGTCGGTACCTGGGCCTTTATTGGTATTAATACGCGCAATACATTTATTTATATATCTTTTATTTACTGATATAGTTGCTTCCTTATTTAGACTATTAAAGTTTTATCTAACGCAAAACTCGTGGGCTGCCAGTACCTACTAGTTTGTAAGGACCCTCCTCTTCGGGTAGGGCTGCGCAAGTGCTCATGCGTGCTTTATTTTAGGGAGAAATGTCACCTGCCCATAGGGTTCGGTACGGACTGTGACCCCGGCAGCCGTTTTGTTTTTTTACTATTTGGTGCCTGAGGGCGGTGAGAACCGCCCTGGGACGCGGGTGTACCTAGTGTACGCGTGTTGCTTTCGCTGAGCTCGTATGCGGGGACGAAGTAATGTCTGTTATAACATTAACTGCGTGTGTAGTATTGATGGGCTGGATCTCAGGTGGTGGCCCTTCGATCTGGTCGATGAGGACGTGGCGTGGGCGACGCCTATTAGCGTTCGCGTTGATATCACGTTGGTAATTCGCACAGTGTACTACAAGAGGGTCGGGATGCTTTTCGACTCTTTCGAAGAACCGTTTGGAGAGCCTTTTAAAATATTCGCATAGCGTCGGGTAACTGCAATCACTGT